ACTCAGGGTGTTTGGGGACAGAAGGAAAAAATGAAGATGTTCCTGTCTTTACACATGTCCCACTAGGGGGAACAATGGGAGTACTGAACATCCCTGCACCATTTCCATGGGACTTGGCAGAAGTCAGTTTCCCATGTGGGTCCAGTATGAAGGGCATCCGGATGAATCTGCCTTTGCCCACTGGATTCCTGGCCTGCTTTCCCAGTACCATCTACATGAACTGGGCTGATTCTTCAGGGTTCCAGACAGGGAACAGAGTTTGGCTAGAGCATCAGCATCATCTTTTAATTACGCCCATAGCTGAAGCTAGGAGAAACTCTGCCCATGAGAGCTGCTTGCTGAAGCTACCCAAGGATGCTGAGGCCTCTCCAAAGCTGGAGGCATTAAACCACAGCTAGGCAGCTTCCTGCCAGGGGCACTGAAGTCATATCTTGCCTTGCGCATCACCACTGAGCACCATGGAGGGGTGTGTCTGCTGACCCCCTAGTCCCCGGTTCTCTGCTGCGAATGCAGCTTGGAACCTTCCAAATGCAGAGCGAATGCTCCACTGGCAAATCGATCCTCTTCAGGCTTCCCTGGTGGAGATCTTTCCAGGTGTGAATTTCAAGGAGGGGAGGCCTGCGGGGGTGGGGGGGGTCTTCCTCCCACTGCTCTTGTTTTCAGAAGGCCACAAGGAGGTCTTGATATGGCTAAGATGGGAGAAGGGAGTCTGGAAGGATTTGTGGGTTTTGATAAGGGATTCCCGATTATTTCCAATTAGAATAAAGAGGTGGATTCCAGCTAGGTCAAATTTGCACGTTCTGGTGCTTGGTTAGTCTCCAGGTTGGTAGCTTTTGGAAGGTGGGGCAGAGCACTGGAGCTGTGTGCCCCTGTTCTATGTCTACTTGGAAGTAAGGCCTCCTGCATTGTATGGGAATTGGCTCCTGTGTTGGGTGCGTGTGGAGTTGCGGCTTGTTCCTAGATCTGGGTTCTTAGTCTCCACTTGGCCATGAAGTTCACTGGGAGACTTTGGGCCAGTCACTCTCAGCCTAAACAAACTTACAGGATTGTTGTGAGGATACAGTGGGAGGGGGAGGGCTCTGTAAGCTGCCTTGGGTTCCTTGCAGAAGGAGAAATGGAAGGAACATTTATCAGACCTTATAAACCTTTTATAGACATCCTCAACTGACCAATCATGTTGCACAAAGTACTTTCTGAATTGGCTGGGATTTGACTTCCATGTATCCAATTGAACTGCACTGTATGTCCCACCAATTTATCCCATTTATGCCTGGATGAAGAGGAAGATGTCCTGTACGTGCTTAGAAGCCTGCTCTTCTTCATTCAAGTTCCTGTAAGAGAGGGGTTATAGCTCAGGGACATTGTATTCAAATGCTGCTCGCTTCTGGCCCTGATATCTTCAGACAGGGAAAGAAAAATGCTGGCAGGAAATGCTGGAGAGCCACTGACAAAGCCAGTAATCTGACCTGGGTGGACCCATGGTCTTCTCAGAGCTCAGCTCCAAAAACTGTTGGGGGCCCTTCTCCAAAGGGCTCGGCAACCCAGAGAGCTGGTCCTTCAAAGAGGCAGGCATAGCTCAGTGGACGGACACCTGCTTTCATACAGAACATCCCTGCTTCAGTCACTGCTATTCTGGTAGCGCCAGAATGGAAGCCCTGCCTGACTCCTCTCAGAATCAGCCGTACTGGCTCAAAGTTGACAGTGCTGCTCGAGAGAGACCAAGCAGCTCTTGTTTGGCTCTTGTTATCAATGGTTCTTGTTATCAATGGCTACCAACCTTGCTGGCCACGGACTACCTGCTTTACCAAGGTGGCAAGCTTGTGCACACCAGTTGCTACGGAGCTTGGGCAGGAGGAGGTCTTGCACCCACTCTGCTGGAGGGGTCCTGTGGGCAGCTGATTTGCCACCATGTGCAGGGAGTCTGATCCTCGGGTCTGATCCAGCAAGGCTTCCCTTATGTTCTTCTGGCTTGGAATACGGGCTCCCAAAAACTAAAACAGACACTGGTTTGGGGATATGCGAGCAGCAGCTGCCCTTTCTGATTCTTCCTCTGGAAATGTTGCGCTGATGTTAGGGACCTTTGTCCAAGCTGGAAAGAGCATACAAGGGCCAGCCAGTCCTTGCAAGCTGCATCTCGCCATTGTTTTTTGGGGCAACCCTTCTGGAAGTTGGTCTTTTCCAAAGCAGCCCTGTCTTGGCTGGATTGTGCTTGCCAAGTGCAAGAGCCCTTCAGCTCAGGCCCATCTCCCTCCCTCCTCCTTTCTTTCTTTTTGATCAGGTGAAAGGGAGAACTCTTGATGAAGAACAGACTTTGTGTATATATATCCGTATGTATGTGTGTATGTGCATGCAGTGTGTTGCCATGGAAATGCAGAACAATTACAAAGACTTGAGGGATGATGTCAAATGTGACTGTGGTACTTAAGAAGGTGTGGGTAAAGCGGGGGGGATCACGCAGCACTCACGCACCCCCCAACCACTGACCTTGTCTGGCACTCCTTTAGCCACCCCCATCCATTTTTATAACAGGAGAGGTGGGGTCCTCCCCTTTGAGCTCTCTTAAAATGATAGCCTTAAAATGATAGTGCATTTGCATGTGGCATGATCCAGCATCGCCTGGGTGCGGAACCTCAGGTCTGAGAGCCACCTGTGGCCCATGTGGGTCCAACTCAAAGGCTGTCACAAAGAGGAAGGTCAAGGTCTCTCCTTGCTCATACCAGAGTGTAGGACACGGAATAATCCAGTTGTGACAACCCAGATTCAGGCTGGACGTCAGGAAAAGCTTCCTCACTCTCAGAGCAATATGGCAGCGGGACCAGCTGCCTGGAGGGGTGGTGGGCTCTCCCACACTGGAGACTTTCAAAAAGAGACTGGACAGCCATCTGACTCGGATGGTGCAACATGGTGTCCTGCAACAGCATGGGGTTGGACTTGATGGCCTTCATGGCCCCTTCCAACTCTACTATTCTATGATTCTGTGAAATCTCTCTTCTCCCCGGCTTCAGCCCCTTTTCCTGAGGATCCATTGTTTGGGGATTCCCTGGATGTTGTGCAGTTCCACCCCTAAATGCCCCACAAGCCTGGAGCTAGTCCTGTTTCCCATGACTGGATTATCTGAATTCTCCTCACCCAATCTTCAACAAGCCTCTCTCGCTCTCATTATTTATGTGGAATAATTCTGCGGATTCTCCACCAGCTCCCACAAGGCCCCGCCAGCATATCCAGTGGTGAGAAAATCTGGGAGCTGAGGCCCAGAATACGTAGAGGCCCACTTTCTGCTCACCACTCCACAAGTGACAAAGTTTGAACACCTGAAAGCCATACACAGATAAAGCATTAATAGTAAAAATAAATCATGGAAGAAATACATTCTAGCACCAAGTTTGACACAGAAGAATAAGAACGACCAATAATGGCACCAGCTGGAAAACATCAGAATGGCATTTTTTTTTTTACCATTACTGTTTATTTGGCTTTATTTGGTAGCTTAAATTGTCTGCTTAGTTATCAAGGCAGATTTGAAGCAGTGCTGAACTTGAAAACATGGTTTAGGGCCTTTTGGAATTATTGGTTTTAAAAAAAAATGATTGCAGGTGAGTGCAGGCATCTTGTCCACCTATGTGGCTGTAGCACCCCCATGAAGATGAGTGGAACATTGTGAGACACAAACACACAGAGAAACCCACTTATCTGAAATTCGTGCTCTTAAGCTCCCGTCCCCTCTTCTCTCACTCAGTCTATCCTACCTCACAGGACTGTTGTGAGATAACTAATTCTCCTGAAGTTTGTCCCAGGAGAAGATGGCAGAAATGCAGAGGAGTGACGACATGGTTGAGATACTTGTTTCAAACATCTGCATGTTGGAAGTTCTACTTTAAAATTAGATGCAGGTACATCCCTGTCTCACTCATTCTAGACAGGCATGGCTCTCCATCCTTTGGGCATTTGGAAGGAATCTGGGTGGACTTCAGTAGCCACTGTGGGGAGCTGAGCTGAGCTGAGCTTTTGTTTCTACCCATCACCTTCCCTGACAAGGAAGGTGAGCACTGACAGATTTTTCTGTCAGTGCTCACCTTCCTTCTGTTTTATCTTGGGCTTCTCATCTGCAGTGCTGGTGATCGAGGTAAAGGCAGCTCCCTGTGCCTTCACATATTTACTCAGAAGTAAATCTCGCCAACTTCAGTGGTGCCTCCTCCCACATAAAAGCCTCGGATTGCCTTATTAATCTGGACCAAACCGTGCCTAAGCTGGGCAGCTAGTCCCTTCTTCAGGGTTGGTTCTGTGCGTGCTTATGTGGGAGGAAGCACCATTGAATGAGGTAGCATTTCCCTCCAGGTAAACGTGGCTTAGCTTGCTCTACCCAAGCCACAGGTACGCCCGATGCAGCAAGGGCACCTGTGCAGTGACTCCAAAGCCATTCCTAGTGTTTCCAGTGGGACACGCTCCCAGGCTCGTGTGCGTAAGGATGGAGGGACCTGCCCGGAGCCTCGTGCCAGGATCCCAGGCGTTTGCTCAGACCAAAGTCCCACTTTGCTTGGGGGCGGGGTGGGGGGAGGTCATGCCAGGTGAACAGGCCGGAGTTGGTCGCCTGGACCCTTGTCCCACATTGTCCAGTGGGCTGTAGGGAGGCAGCTTTGCCTCGCTTCCCTTGGAATCGCCAGCAGGTCTGGGGCACGGGTGTTTTGTTGTGGGGGGGCGGGGGCGAGGAGGCGAGAGCGCGCTCCTCCCAGCTCTTTGCCTGGAGAAGGAGTTTGATTCGGGGCGTGGAGCTGACGCGCTTATATAAAAGCATTTTTTTTCCGGATGGAGCCGCGTGTCTCTGGCTGCGCCCCCGTGGTTGGCCCTCCGGCTTAATTCGGTTCAGCGCAGAGCGCATAAAGGAGGCCCGGCGAGCGAAGCGGAGGCGCAGCGTGGCTCAGTTAGCCCACCGGCCGGTTGGGCAGCCCGCCTGTTCCCCCCCCCCACCCGCCCCGGGGGGAAAACAAAAAAGCAAGCAAGCGGCACTGCCTCTTCCCGGGGCAGGACAGCGGAGGAGGAGAAGGAGGCGCGGTGGCAGCCGCCAAGGGGCGGAGGAGAAGGCGGGATCGCCCTGGAAGGCTGCGAGGCTGGTGGTCCGCTCCGCCGCCGCCGCGCCGAAGGGAGTCGCTCCGCCGCGCCCCAGGTGAGTGCGCCCGCGAAGAGCGGCTCCTGGAGCGGAGCAAGTTGCTCCGCTTCCGAGTTAACGGGCTTCATCGGAGTGCGGGTTTGGGGTTCTGGTGGTTCGTTCCACGGCGCCGGGGCTCAACCCAGTTACAGCGCCTGCCCTGCACTCGCCGTCCGCCCCACACCTCGAAATCTTGGCCTCCTGTCTGGTCAAGAGATGGCAGTCGGCGCTTGGCACACGCTCAGGGGCACTCGTGGCTTGCCATGTAAGGCTGGGACCCGGCGCGCGTATGACGGTTTTTTGGATGGGGCGGTGAGATTCTGGGGTCCAGCCTGTATTCGTCTTAGACCAAGGGAGTAAGTGAGGGGGGCCGGGGGAAGGTTAAGCCCCAGTCCTGCACACTCGCTTACCTGGACGGAACTCCCATTGAAGTCAACGGAGGCTCTTTCCAAGGAAGCACGCGCGGGATTGCGCTGCGAGCGTGAACTTTCCAGCGCCGCCTCGGCGCTTGCGAGGAAACCATCCGATCAGCAAAGCAAGAACCCGGTGGGTGGGGCGGGGGCGGCTGGAGGTCCGAGAATTGTAGCTGCCCGAAAAGCCGGCTCGGTTCAGGGAGCTCAGCGAACGGCGGAGCGCTGCCCTTCGGAAGGCGCGCCGGCGCTCCCACTGATAAGGCGGGGATTCCCGGTGCAGGCGCTGCCGGGGTGGCTCCGGTGCTTTGCAGGCTGGGCGGCCAAGCGGACCATCCCGGGGCCGAAAGAGGAGTCCGGACTGAGCAGATTCTCTTCCCCGTTTGCTCAGCGCACGATCGCCGCCCGGGTGCGGTGCAGTCCGGGCTTTGCGCTGGCTCCAGGTGGCGGGCGAGCGTGGCTCGCTTGGTCAGCCCTCCCGCGGGTGAGGTGAAAGCACTCTGCGTGCGCGCAGAGGCACTTGTTTTCTGGTTGGCAGACCCACCGCTGAAATACATCCAGGGACTCAGATTAACCCCTAGCTCTCCCTACCCGGACTTCCACCTCGTTTGTCCAGAGAACTTTTGTGACTGGGTGGGTTCAGCGTATAATAAAACAATATATTTCCTGTTCTCTGCTAAGCATCCGATGGTAGCTGAAGAACTTCCTGCCTTCGGGGTTTAGCAGAACGGGCCTCGTGTCGGTCCTGCTCGCCCGTTCCTTTCTACCCCGAAGGAAGGCTCCATCGTTCTAGAACCTGCAGCAATATCTGTACAGCTGCTTCTTGCTTTTCACGTGGGGGGAAAAGCTGTTCGACAACCAGACAGAATTAGTCTCCATAAATTAACCTTTTCCATCTGGAAGGAGATGAAAGGATGGGGTGGGGAGAAGGGAAAAAACAAAGGGAACGCGAGTGTACAGTAGGAGAAAGGGAAAGGAAGCAAGGTAGACTGGGGGCTGGAGGAGGGGAGGTCGCACCTAATTTAGGATTTTCAGTAAACATTGTTTCTGGGTCGCTGGCAACAGTAGATCAGGTTTTCTTCTCTTCCTGTTTTGCAGACGGGAACCCGGGGGAAAGGGAATCAGTCCTTCCTGTTGATTGGGATTTGAACCCAGTTCCAAGAGGGGAGGGCTTTCCTGTTGTGCTAACCAAGAGAGCAGCATGGGTTATTGCCCATGTGCCCTGGTTGGAGCTATGGGTCTGGGTTGCCGTGGGTCCAGATGGGGGGCATTTATGATGACTAGAAAGCATCCCCCCCACATCTCACCATGTTTACTTAAAGCGGCAGAGTGAGCGATGCAAAAAGGGGGCTAAATCTTACTAAGCCCAAAAGTTCGACCGAGAGGGTTTGGGGAAATGTGGCCCCTTGTTCAAAGAAGGCTCATCCTTGGAGGGCTGCCTCCAACTCGAGACAGACTCGAGTCCCAGTTTGCAGGGGAGGGTGATGACTCCTGTATCGACAGGGCTTCTCATCCATGGCAGCTCTTATTTTGAGCTTTATAAGGTGCTACACATGGTGTTCCACTCCAACCCTGAATAGGTTCACCACCATGAAGCACTGCGGAGAGTGCCTATGAAGCCCAAAATAAAGGTGCAAATGGGTAAGGAAACCCAGTGCCTTAGGAGCCATCAGCCAGCCCGGCGCTCTCTAACAACCGGCGGCTTTCCCCTTCCCCTCTGTCCTTCCCATGGCTCCATTCCCCACCCAACCGCAGTTCTTTCAGCATCATTCCTGTTTCCAAGGTTGGAGCTTGCAAGCTGCCTGCTCACTGGGGTGCCCACCAGCGAGGTGAGAAATTGGGCAGTCTGGGTGGCAAAGTAGATGAGGGAAGCAAAGTGTGCAGGGTAAAGCAATTTCATGGACACTCTTGGTGGGTGTGTAGGGGAAGCCTTCGAAGAAGGGGCTGTCCCCACATCATTCTCTAGGTCAGTCTTCCTCAACATAGAACCCTCTAGATGTCCGGAGTTTCTCCTCCTCTCAGCCCCAGCCAGCATAGCTAGTATTCAGGAATTCTAGAATTGCATATTTCAAGGGCACCAAGTTTGGGGTGCGTGCGCTATTCTGGGGAGCGGTGGACACCCTTGTGACTTTTAGCTAGATGCCCGGACACCTCTTCCTCCCTCCCTTGCAGTGCATTCTGTACCTCTGGCCAAGATCAGGACCTCGGACAGCTCCCCTCGCCCTGCTCTACTTCTGGGCATCTGCTCTGGAAGTTCAGAGCTTCTGCTTCTCGCCTTTAAGGCTCCAGTCCTGCACCCTTTTTCCTGGAAATCAGTCCCTCTGAGCTCAGAAGGAATTTCTTTTGAATAAGCATCTGTAGGTTTGCACTGCACACTAGCCGATCATTCATGTCATGCGTTGACATCTCTTTTGCTTCCTGTGCTAGCCAGCCAGGACCGATGGTAACATCCAGTTTGTTCTAACATATTGGCTTCGGAGCTGATGTGTCCTGGGGTTGGCATACCGTAGTTTTATTGGTAAATTCACATCGTTGCCTTTTTCCTAAGGAATTCGTCAGGGAAAAAACTGAAAATGACCGATTGCCTCAGAAGACCGTCTTTCCAGCCCAAAGTCTAAAGTTAGTATTTCCAAGCCTGCTCAGCAATTCTAGTTGTTTCTGTCTGCAAGATCTTAACCGTGTGTGTGTGTGTGTGTAAATATATAACAAAAGCAGCAGTTGTATGCATGTCTAGAAGTAATTCTCCTTGATTTGGAGCTAGTCATGGTTAGAAAAAATCCCATTAACTTCAATGGGGCTAAAGGTAGCCATGATTAGCCTAGCCCAATTGACTGACATGGGTTTGCACTAAGTGGCTAAACTTGAGACTAATCCATTTTGCTCAGAGGGATTTGTTCCTATCTAAATATGTTTTAGGATCATGCCATGACAGCATGCCATGTCTACTCAGAAACCAACCCCACTGAGTTCAATAGGACTTACTTCCAAGCGAGTAAGCAAAATATTGCTGCCTAGCTCTAGCTGTTCATTAGTTATCTGTTTATTTGAATTATTTTTGTCCTGCTTTCTCAGCCAAAAAGGCTTCTGGAGCAGCTTATGTGCAATCAGTTAAACAAAACAGTTCCTGCTGGCAGACATATGATCTAAGACACAACATCAAGAGACTTGGGGTGGAAAGGGCTTTGTTTCAATACGGAAGATTCGGCATAGAATGCTGAGATTGTGAGGCAGCCCACCCAAGCTGGCTGCTACACTGTGGAACTCAGTGCCGGAACTCCAGCCCAGTTAGGCGAGCTCAACACCTTCACCGTCTGTTCCCTTTCAGTCTGAGGTTCTGTTTCCACAAGATAAAGAATTGCAACCTCACCAAGATTTGGAAAGTGTTGCGTCGGGGAAGTGGAATCTAGCTGCAAATTAAAGCAGAACACCCAAGCCCTAAACCATTGTTATTGCATTACAATTGCATCCTACCTGTTGTCCTCTTCTTCCTCTCCATTTTATCCTCACAGCAACCCTGCAAGGTAGGTGATGAGGCAGCGACTGGCCCCAAGTCACCCACTGATTTTCATAGCCAAAGATTTTCACGGCTTCCCTCGCCCTGCTCTATTTCTAGGTATCTGCTCTGGACGCTCAGAGCTTCTGCTTCTTGCCTTTGAGGCTCCAATCCTGCACCCATTTTCCTGGAAATCAGTCCCTCTGAGCTCAGAGGGAATTTCTTTTGAATAAGCATCTGTAGGTTTGCACTGCACACTAAACCCACTCCAGCACTTTAACCTCAACACCACATGGCCTATTCCCCCTTTCCCCACATTCTTCATTCATCCCCTGCAGCACCAACTCATCTATTCTCTCCTACCAGGTGAAAAGGTTGCATTTAAGTACTGCTCATAGATCTCCCAGGAAATAGCTCAGAAACACACAAGAAACCTCATTTTGGGAAAGAGGGTCACATGCATTTTTAACCACAGCCAACACGGTAAACCTTTAAAGCAAAAGCGACTCTTCGTTAGAGGATCAGCCACAGAGGAGCCTTGGGATCTGAGCTGGAGATGTTCTGCCAGAAGCATAGTATATGAGCAAGGATGAAAAACATTTATGTCAAAGAAAGTTCAGGGATTAGTGCAGAAGAAGTCACTCCAAATTGCACTTTATTCTTGGAGTGCAAGCTCTGCAACAGCCCTTGAAGACTTCAAGACAGTATCTACGATACTCGTGATGCAAAGGAATAAACCGGAGCTTTCCTGGAGTGTGGTGAGCATGTGCAAAGCAGAAAAAGAACTGCAGCAATCATAGAAAGATTCGGGGATTTAATATCTCCCCCGTATCCACTTCTCCACTCCTTTTCACAGTAGGAAAAACTAGTGGGATAACAATGCAATGCAATGATGATAATTTATGGTTTGGGTGTCTCGTTTTAATGACCAAAGGAGAGCTTGGCCACTGCAGAGCAAAATATCTTAGGTAAACTGTTTCGAACAGGTGGTAAAGCCACGACTCCCTGTAGGCAATGCCCGTTTATCTCATGCATACAGGTGATCAGCTTGCATCATTTGTACAAACCTGAGTTGACCTGTTGCGCAAGGTGAGATCACCTAGCGCTTGATAATG